AAAAAAAAAAAAAAAAAAAAAAAAAAAAAAAACCTTTAAAATTACAAAGAAATTCAATTATTACCTGGGGTTCGAAACCCATGTCAAACATTCTGTCTGCTTCATCTAAAACTACATAAGTCACTCTTCGAAGGTTTGTGACCCGACCTAAAGAGAGAGGAAAAGAAAGACAAAAAGAAAACTAACTATCAGTCACAATTCATGATGACAACCAAGAACTTTTAAAAAACCATAAAGGGAACTAAAATGCCTGACTTAAGCAGAGGGGTAGGTTAGGTTTCTTTAAACAGTGAAAAGAAACTTTGGTCGAAAAGTCTTAATCTAGTGGCAAGTACTTTCTGACAGTGGGTATATGAGGCCCTTTATTTTGTCAAACTCGTCTCTTGCATACCATCATAGGGCCTGAAGAACCTGTAAAATTCAGAAAACAGCCCTCTCCAAAACACATCATAAAACTAAGACTGAGATGGAGCATCGAGCCACATCAGCCATTATCTGACAGCATCACCTAGAAAAAAACATATTAGAGATTACAGCGCATGTGTGGAAAGCAGTTCCAGTGCTAACTACCTCAGGGGCAGAAACCCCCTCTCTCTTTACAGCTACGACCATACAATCAGAAGCAAATGCCTTAGTCGGGCATGGTAAACCACTAATAAACTACTGCTCAAAATCACTGGGTAACAGTATATTACACAAACTTTAAATAACAACTGCATTACATATAAATATACTTTTCTACACAAAGATACACACTAAATTATTAATTGCTGCCACTGATTTAAAGAAATAGCCCTGGCTTCTTAACCAGTTAAAAACTAAAAATACAGAAAATCCTTTCTCAAAGTAATAAGCATTGCTATCAACTGCAGAACCAACCACCTGGCAAAAATATGTATAAAATAGTTATTACAAGATAATGAAAAAGACAAATAAAGGAAAAAGGTAAAATTAATCAAGATGGTTTTCAGGAGGTTTAATTCACACAACAGTGAGAAAAAACGAGGAATTATCGAGTCAGCATTCACCCCAAACCTTCACCTGCTACCCAAGCGCAAGGCCTCAAAGAACCTCGCGGAGAACCAGGTCTCCCCAAGTTTCAGGCGGAACCCTAGGACAAACATGCACTTCTTGGATTCTAACACTCAGTTTCATACAGTCTGACTGCTGTGATGGAAATCTCTAAAGAGCCCTTTCTTCAAAAACTAAACAGAGCGTTCACCCTAACATCTCCAGCCGCCAAGTCTCGCAAGGTTGGAAACAGCATTAAGTCACCTACCTTTGACGGTTAACGTCTCGGAAGGCCAGGTCTATAAATCCTCAAGGGCCTTTCTCCACAGAAGTTAAATAATGTCAACAGTTTAGTATCAGTTTTGATAGGGAATATTTTAACAAAGCATAACATCTGAGCTAAAAGCATGCAGTATTTACAAAAGACACATTTCTTGAAGCTGCAATAACTTAATTTGTCTATTATAAAATACTGGGAAGAATTTTATAATAAAAAGACTATGATGCCATTTTTTTAAAAGCAAAGATACCCCCCCCCCCCCGCAAAAAAAAGTCAAGTTAAATGCTGATAAGGTCCTATGGAGTTAGCTGCCAAAAACTTATTAATACTTTCAACAATTGCAACTGTTACAATTCACATTTTAAGATATTACAGCTTTAAGAAGAAACAAAGAAACCCTTTGTTGGTTTCTCATGTCTGCTTTAATAACGTGTCAAGTTCAAAAAGGAAAGAAAACAATAAATACGCCTGTGACTTACCACTGTTAGCGGCTAACATGTCAATCATCCGACCAGGTGTGCAGACAATAATTTCAGCACCTCTTTTCAGCTCAGCAATCTAATGAAACAGGGTGAGATTTTATATACTATACTAGTCATCACTAGCTCCTGAACAGATGTGAAAACAGCATCTGGCCCACTCGTGGCTCTAGCAGGTAAGACAGTCTGAGTAGAAGACTGGAGGCTGGCATGTGACCCTTGGGCTGCTAAGCACTGAAGGCCAGGGAGCAGCAGGATGACAACCAGGGTCAGAAAGTTAATCAAACCAAAGAATTTCACAAATTTTAGTTTGCAACTATTGCTCAAAAACCAAAATAGGAAGGTCAGAATAAGCAATAAAATACATATTCTAACACAAACATCAATGCTTTCCAAATTTAGGAAACCATGACATCAGTGTTCTAAGCTACAGCCAGCAGCTTTACAAACAGAACACACAATGAAAGCACACTGGACATGGTAACCTTTGCCTGAGCTCTAAACAAACATGTGTGTGCACCGGTTATACTATACGCATGCACTAGATCATTCTCTTCCCTTTCGCCCTCTGTTTTATGTATCTGGGTGTTTTACCTGCACACACGTCTATGCACCACATACACACAATGCCTGCAGAGGCCAGAGAGGGCACTGGCTCTTCCTGGAACTGGAGTTATAGATGGTTGTGAGTCACTGGGATCAAATCCAAGTCCTCTAGAAGAGCAGACAGTGCTCTTAACCACTGAGCCATCTCTCCAGCCCTAAAGCAACTGCGCCTCTGGAATGCTGGCCCGAGAGTCATCTCCTATAGTTAGAGGTACCAGCAAGAGTGAGATCTTCTGTGGCAAATATTCCACATGACATACTGTTTCCCACGTGTTTGAAGTATTGAAGAAAGCATAGTATAGGGCTAGCACTATGTGCTGTGGGTAAAGGTGCTTGCTGCCAGTCTGACAACCTAAGTCAATGCCTAGATCCCACATGGTAAAAGGAGAAAACTGACTTCTATACATTGTCTTCTGACTATATCACATGTGCTGTGATATGTGCACATGGACAAACATACACAAGCAAGCTCAAACACACACACACACACACACACACACACACACACACAATGTGATTTTAAAAAATAAACTGAAAAAGAAAAAGGTATACTAGTCGCTTTCCTGTAGAAGCAAGGCCGTACTAACAGAGAGCACACAGTCACCCACAGACTCCTCTGTAAACGCTTTGACTCTCCTCCTGTGTCTTCTATGAGAGAGCTGAAATGCATGTCTGATCTCAAAGCTCAGGTGAACCTGACAGCATCATCCACCTGCCCGTCTGGTGGGAACTTGAAGTGCATGTGGCAGAAGCCACCCCACTCTCACTGCAAAAGCTCTAAGATGTTCCTGTTATCAATGCTTTCAAAACTGTTTTCCTGGCACAGACATACAAGAGCAGCACTTGGAAGACAGGAAGAGAAAGTTCAGGAAATCAAGGTCATCCTGGGCAATCTGAGATCCTGTCACAAATACACACAATTTGTTTTATAGCTAGGCAGTGGTGGCACACACCTTTAGTCCCAGCACTTGGGAGGCAGAAGCAGGAGGATCTCTGTGAGTTCGATGCCAGCCTGGTCTACAGAGTGAGTTCCAAGACAGCCAGGGCTACACAGAGAAACACTGCCTCAAAAAAAATCAAAAGAAAAAAAAAAATTTTATAAATGTATTTCTTATTATAGGCTGTATAGTCAAATAAACTGACAAAAATGAACAGTTCAAGTATTTAAAATAGCAAAAAAGTGAAACATTCCCAAGGCATGTTTTTACAACACTATTTCTGAAATAAGTTTTCTTGCTAAGCTTGGTGATACACACCTTTAACACCAGCACTCAGCAGGCAGAGTCAGAGAGATCTCTGAATTCAAGACCAGTCTGGGCTATACAGCAACTTCTAGGACAGCCAGGGCTACATAATAGAGACACCCTCTCTTGAGAAAATGCTAAATCAAAGACAGTAAATCTTGCTACATATCAAACTCCAGCTCTAATTAATCTAATTAATTGGTCAACTCATTTAATCATTCTGCGTAACTCTTCACTTATAAAATGAAAAAGCAGACCTGCCATCTCAGGCAGGAGGGCATGCCAATGCTAAGAACCACTTCAAGCCTGGTGGTGGTGGTGCACACCTTAAACCTAGCATTTCAGAGGCAGAGGCAGATAGATCTACGTGAGTTCAAAAGCTAGCCTGGTCTACAGAGCTAATAGCCAGGGTTACACAGAGAAACCCTGTCTTAACCCCCCCACCCCACCTCCCACCCCCCCCA